GAAATTAAGATGCTTAACCGACTGAGCCACCTAGGTGCCCATATTTCTGATTTAAGGATGTGGAAAAGTGAGTATCAGAGTAGAATTAAGGCAATGAAATTGAGGCAAACACCCCTGGATTCCTTTTGTGATTGATATTTTCCAAAGCTGTTTATTAGTTGTTAGTTCCCCCATACTCCCACCTCATCCTGGAGGAATCTTTATTACTGTTAAGTGTTACAATGTATTGTCAGCATTTGTTTACATATCTGTTTCACTCTGCGGATTAGCTTTTCAAGGAAGTGTCTTTATTGGGATCATAATGTGGCTTATTGTTGGACCAGTGAATAAATGAGTTGCTCATTTTTTTTTTTTTTTTTTTTACTGTAGGTTATCTACTTTTGGGAATGCAGGAAGCTCCCACCTTGATTATCCCAAAGATTCTGATTTGATGGAATCATTTCAATGTAATCAGACCCAGGTCAACAGGTCAGTTCTTAATATATTAATCAGGAAGGTGAGGTTTAATATCATGTATCTATCAAATAAATGTTAAAACTTTCAGTTTGTTGCTAAATGTGTAACATTCTAAAGCTATAAATAGGGTGCTAGAGGATTTGGGGTTGTGAGAGTGGATGACATTTTTAAAATGAAAAATATTAGCAAATTGGACAAGTATTTGATTTTATTCTTACATTTACTGCTTGTTAGTTCTGGGATCATTTTTGTCCTTCACCTGGAGTTAGGAGCACTACTTTAAGTGTGTCCAAATAACAACAGCTTTTTATTTACTCCTCTACAGATACAAGATTTCTTTACTGAAACCCTCTACAAAGGCATTAGTCCTATCTTGTAAGGTGTCTATTCGAACAGATAACCGAGGATTCCTCTCATTACAGTATATGATTAGGAATGAAGATGGACAGATATGTTTTGTGGAATATTACTGCTGCCCTGACGAAGAGGTTGCTGAATCAGAGTCTTAAGTATGGCATTCGCTGTGATAGCTATCTTGACATTCATGATCTGTCACATTCTCGTTCTGGGTATAGTGCTCTCCAGAATACTGGGTTTTCTGAAGGGAAGAAGCATGGAGGAGATAGGAACAAGGTCCATGTACCCTAATAGTTGCTGTGTATTTTGTAAGTAAATGTTTTCATGTAGTCGTAGATTAACCAGTACTGGACTGGACTGTGGTTCTGTCTTTTGAACTCATGGGACTCATTTTGAGCCAAGATGAACAACTTATTTAAGTAGGACACGTTAAGAGTCTAAAAATGTAAAGTTTGGTGATTCTGTACCTGAAATGTTCTTTTATTTACTTACCGTTAGAAAAAGCAGCAGCATCTGGGCACTGATTATTAGTTTGACTTCCGGACTGTGTCTTAACGCGGTGGTCCTCAGAGTATGGTGCCTGGACCGAGAGCATCAGCAGTACCTGGAGACTTGTCAGAGATGCTGGAGGGTGGCCAGCCGTCTGTAGCTTCAGTCATTTCCTCCAGGAAATTAGATGCATGTTCAAGTTTGAGAACCACTGTTTTGAAGGATACGTTTATTTTTTTGCATTTATAGCATTCAATTGCATTGAAGTGAATGCTGTTACATGTGATTTCTTCCCAAATGTTCAGAAGTTTACGCTTTGCCAAACAAGTGTGAGTAATTGTATGATTTACCTTTAAAGTATACATTTTAAAGAAATCTATGAACAAGATATAAAAGTCTTCTGAGTTACAGAATTTCTTCTCGCTCTCAGAACTGTTCAGTGCAAGAAGTACTGTAGTAAGTACTTAGATACCTTCTATTTGCTTATACGCGTCTCTCAACCAAACCAAGTGTAGAAAACCAGTTATCAAGTGATTTTGCACTTTCTTGGGTCATTTTCAATTAACTTTTATGGCATGTAAATATTTAATAAAATACAATGCTAAAATTACCTGACTTGTTTTGTAACAGAGAAATATATAACCAAAATAAAGGTCCGTACATGTGGTAACAGCTCTGTGTGGGGCAGCACTGTTGGCCTTTGTGGGTATGATAGTTCTTCATAGGAAAAAAACATCCCACTGCAGGATTCATTTAGCCTCCCTGGCCTCGGGCCCCACTAGTGCCAGTCATTGTGACCTGCGATTCTCCCCTCCCCACCCCAATAAAAATGTCCCATGTTATTGATGGCTAAGAACCATTGAATAATATTCATCAAAAGGGTATATTTGGAATGCCTACCTTAAAATAGGCCACTTGGCATTAGAGGAAATTGGTTTGGAGAGCAGTTCAGCAAGAACTTCAGGGAAATGATCCCCCAGAACAGCTGTGGGCACTGTTCCCAGGCACAGGGGCTATTCTGGTGTGTAGCCCAGAGTGACTACCTAATAACTACGAAGCCCCCCAGTAATCTCAGCATGCTAGCTGGTACAAAAAGTGGAGTTTTGTAAAGTATAGTATATGTTCAAGAAGTAAATGAATGAATCTACATCAAGAACAGAACAAATCTAAAAGATAATTATGAAAATATTTAATCATCAGCATTTCAAGGACTATAATTTTCCTTTATTTTTTAAAAACAATTTTAAGTTTATTGATTTATTTTGAGAGTGAGAGAGCAAGTAGGGGAGGGGCAGAGAGAGAGAGAGAGAGAGAGAGAGAGAGAGAGAGAACCCCGGGCAGACTTTGCACTGTTGGGGCTCAAACTCAACATCCATGAGATCATGACCTGAGCCGAAGTCAGACACTTGCCCACCAGAGCCACCCAGGAGCCCCCTATAATTTTCCTTTAAAATAGGGCAGTTACTTTTGGTTTTTGTTCACTGGTATGTCCTGTACCTAGAACGGTGTCTATTCAATAAATATTTGTTAGGTGAAAGAACCTCCATTTCAGATTATCTTTTAGCATTTTATTAATTACTATTTAATTTCAGTTACTTAGCTCTGAGTTGATCTTGATCTGAAGTATTTTTTAAAAGTTGAACCTGTGAAGAAATTAAAATGTATATTGGTTCAGTAGGGAAAGATTGACATTTTTGCACATTTAAGGTCGTCATTTTAGCTGCACACATCTTTATTTAGAGTTCGTAAGCTAATGAGTGTAATTCTTTCTACATCACCCACCAAGGTACTGATTTAATATAGAATTTCCTATTTAGTGGTTTCTCTTTGACCTCAGAATTTACTTTGTACAAGTTCCCTTGAAATTCCAGCAGGGGGAGTGCTTCCTCAGGCAGACTGGGACACTTTGGTGACTACAAATTCGTTTCATGTGTCACACACAGAAAAAATATAATCTTATTTTGAAGGCCTTTAGTTTTTCCTTTTTGCAGTTTATCTCATTTTATTTTCATTGTGCTTACTAAGGGAATGTGTAGTTTTTTCCTCCATTTTTAATGTTTTTCCCCGTTTGATGATACTGTGCTTCCACCTGCAATTGATGAAATGATTCAAAATAAAAACGATTTTTTGAATTCTGTTTTTCTAATAAAGTTAAGTCTTATAACACAACCACTTTCATAAGAAGCCACAGAGTTTCTATGGTGCATCAAGTAGTCCTAGTAAGAATTGGTTACAGTCGCGGAAAGGGCAGCATGTGGCATTCTTCACAGTTCAGGGTGGGGAATTTTTCAGAACAGGGTGCTCCCTTCTTCCCTTACCTTCTTCACACTGACTTCCCCTTGGCCCCACCTGAAACGAAAACTACAGGGTCCTGAGAAATTGTATAACATTTTTTCTTTTCCAAATTGTGTCCTCGGTAGTGTTTTCAGGCACAAGTCAGGTTACACGCACCCCCGAGGCCGTCAGCAGCTCCAACCTGGACTTCCCACGCCAGGAGTGGACAGAGATGCCATAACAGACAGTTGTTCCCAGTGCTTCTGCTGTGCTGTCCACGTCTCAGCCACCGCCAGAGACTGTGGTAATTAGTAATATTTGAAGTAGGTTTTATTTTTGAAATTAATACTTTGTTGATCAATATAAATCAATATAATAGTAGCGGCTCTCATTGGTAAAACTAGAGGTATTCAGGACATGTGACATGACTAAATTACTAAAGAGTATTTCCCCACCTTTGCATGAAAAGGACATAAGAGTCTAGTGAGGCTTGTGACCTGGACATTTAGACTTGGGGCCTGAGGCTTGACCCCTAAATGGTCTGGCTTCCTGCCACCTTGTCCAAGGATTTCTGGCTTCTTCTTGCTAACTAAATTAGGACAGCCTCACTTCAGGAGTATTGTGAAGTCTGCCTCAAGCCGACCTTTCGTGGGAAGTGGTGGGTGAACCACCAAAACAGAAGTAGGGCTTCACTGATCTTAGGGAGCAGTTTGCATGGGCATTTGCATGCTTGCTGATAAATGTTTATTAAAGTCTGTATGTGGGGCAGTATGATCTAGGCTTGATTTTTTTCTTCTTTTTCTAATTTGGTAGAGATTGTAGGGAAATAACTAACCCTCATCCACCTCAAAGATTTTAGTTCCTGTTAGCTAATTTAAAAAGAATCCGAAAGTTGTGAATGACCTTGTTGACTCGGGTCTGTTAGGAACATCAAGTGTTTGGGGTAGATTATCCAAATTGCTGGTTCCCACTGAGTGAATTCAGAAAGTAGCTTAGTTCTCATCTACAGTTTTCCAAGAGAGAATGTAACTTTACATTAGGTTTTACTGTGTCGAACATTTCCAAGGTGGTTTCTTAAACTTAAGGATTTCACAGAATACCAAAATTTTAAAACTTTTGGAACCAACATAAGTAACAACTTACTATTTTCTCAGATATGAGGATGTTAAAACCATAGCTACCATTCATTATCACCACCATTTCATTAAACATTTTAATATCAACATCTCAGAAAATGGACTATTAGTAACCTTACACTGACAATAAACACTGGATATATTTAAATATTTAAAACTAATTTCAGATGCAATATCAAGATCACACCGTAACATTTTATTTTACAATGTTAACACTTTATGCTATTGTTTTATTGATACAGGTTTGTCAGTCTGGAGATCTTAAGACTTTGAGGTCTCCCAAAGTAGTAACATTTTTAAAACTTTTAGTGCCACACAAAATAGAGTCCAAACGGCCACTTCTGTCTGGTACTTTGGTTTTTATCACAGTCATTGTCGAAAATCCATTTTCGTCCGGATATGTGAAAATGGAAGCAACTCTTCTGAGGCTGCTTTAGTCAGTGCAGAATATTCTGGGTAAGGACAGCAGGCCCATCTCCAGACAGGGCTAAAATTAGCAACGACAGACCGGTGACCAGTTGATAAGCACTGCAGAAAAGGTCAGTGGGATATAGCTGCCTTCAGGCAGGCCTGCAACCTGAGACCTTGGTCCTGAGAGCTGAGCTGAAAGCATTCAGAACACAGCCGCCAGGAGGAAGCCTTCCAGTCTACAGACCAGGCACTGACTCGCCACTCACCACCATACCTTGGCTACTGGTTGATCATTAGGTTTTACAGACTGAGCAAATGACTGAAATAAAAAAATAATTTTTTGCATGAAGAACCAAAATGTAGTCCCCTAAGCACTAAGTGATATGGAGATGTTAGAAGACGCTTGGATCCCTAAAGACACAGTCTTTGAACTGCATTAAATCAGCTCGGGTAACAGAAACGATGAAGAGAGAAGTAAGTTTTTTATTTTGTAAAACTCACACGAGTCCGATTTTTCTTTTCTCCCTGCATATGTGAAGAAGACAGTAAGGAATATTTGAGATTTGAGATTGCTGTTTTCTTTTCCTAGATACACATTTGTTCAGGAGGTAAGGACTTTTTTTTTTTTTTTTTTTTTTTTAAACAAACCTGGTTAAGATTCCTTCCACAAAACAAGCCTTTTTAATCCACTTTGGGGTTGGGGGCAGCATAACGGGGTGGAAAGTAATCATCTGTGACTCAGGAAGTCAGCTTTATAATCACCCAGCTGACCTTGAACAAATCCATCTCTCTTGTCCCTAGTTTCTTCATTTATAAGAATCAAATCCCTCTCTGACTCTAATATGGCATGAGACCAGGGCAAATGTTTTCAGGAGATCAAACGTTTCTTCACAAGGCAGTTTTAGTGACCTGAAACAAGTTACGACTAAAAGTATTTCCAAACAGTATATTAAAATGGTCACTAATAAACTACTTAGGTGTTGCAGAATCTTCTTTAAAAACCAGAACTGAAAAAAATGAAATATAAGTTATAAAAAGGGAAATACAAAAGGTATTAGAGTCCCTAGTCATTAAGAAACTAAAAGCATGTATCTAAAAAAAGATTTCTACACTTGCCCTATCCCTTGCCCCCCCTCCCGCCCCAAGTTATAGATCAGAATCCTGCTTTCTAATGGCTCTTGAGTATTTTTACCTGTAATGCTGCTGCTAAGCAGACTTTTCCCCCCCTTAGAGTTCTTAGTTCTGCTTTTGATCTGCCATTGTTATCAGTGTTGATAAATATATCTTGTGATCCAGAATTTTTGTTATCAACAAGGTTGGCTTTATTGTTGGCTATCCAGTATAGAGGTTTTCTCTTTACTGATAACAGAAGACCTAAAGGAAAGGAGACAAACATTTGTGCATTTTATTTTGTTGTTGCCTCTCTTCCAGTTCCAAATCACTGCTTTATTGAGCTAGATGGCTGAACTTCAGTCTGAGGCAACTATTTCACCATGTGCCCATACCCCTAAAATGTTGACTCTTCTAACAGGCCTCTAAAATGGTACTCGAGTCTTGGGTTTTCTCCCTGAGGAGCAGGAACTCTTCCTTTGACACAGATGGCAGCTAAGGATATCTAAGATACCGGGATTGCTTTTAATCACAGCTGAAAAAAAAATGTACCTAGTTTAGGGTCTTTTATATTGTTCATAATTTTCAGGGGATCTCTTCTCATGAATACACAGATTTTAGGGCCTAGGGCCCTCTTAATTGCTACACAGAGGATCTATCTTCCCCATTTCCAGCCATTAAGAGTCCCATACACTGATTTCCTAATATTGGAGAAGCTGGGCTGGAGTTAGAAGTAATCTGGTCCAAAAGAAATCTGGTCCAGAAACCTGTTTTCTATTAAGTGTTCTTCAGTCATCTCCTATTCAGACCTCAAGACTGCTAAGTGTGGTTTTCATGGCCCCTATCTGACTGAAAAAAAATATTTGTTCCACAGAAATACGAGATACAAAATTTTATGAGGCTTTTTTTTATATTCAAGTTCCACTATTTTATATTCATTCTCTACTACTGACTGCATAAAATACAGAAAGCTATCTGGCGCTTTAACTTCCTTCTCAGTAAACCAAGAGATAATGTGATTTCAGATCTGAAGAAGAAATAGGCACAAATTAAGTCAATTGCTCAGGGTCTCATAAAACTTGAGGGGGGCAAAAATCTGAGGGGCCTCTGCTAGGAATAGGAACTCCCATCCCACTCCAATCATAGGAGTCAGAAATCCGCCTGGGCCTCTTCACCCTCCTGCCACAAGGTGGCAGGATTCCCCTGGCCTGAAATCTCCAGGTCACTGAAAGGACACTGACTTCCATCCGTTGAGTATACATTATCTTCTTTGGATTGGAGTAATTGTATCAGACTGTCGTTTCCAAGGGCTGATAAGCTCCATCCAGCTCACTTTTGGGATGTTAACCAGTGAAGTGTTTTCCACACCAGCTTGGTGTGGTAACTTTTTACCAAGAATAGTTACTAGCCCCTCTCTCCTTGTGCTGCATGCACCAAATGTTGTAGCTAGAAGATAATAAACTTAAAGCCCAGGCTTCAGTAAAAACAAAAATAGATGTTATTTGTTACATGATTACTATGGGGCCAGGCACCCTGCTAACCCCTTTACATACATTTTGTTTTCACAGCAACACTAAGAGACCCGTGTTCTTCTCACCTCCATTCTATTGTGAGCAAACCAGGATTACATGCGGATAGAAAGTGGTGGTTCTGGGGCCTGAACCCAGGCTTGTCTGTCTCCAGAGCTAGCTCTTAACCACCATGAATCATACAGAAAAATTAGTTCACAGGGATGCATTGAAGTCATGGTTTCTATGATCAGATAAAATAGTTCATTGGTGAGATAGTCATGTTCACAGACTTTATTATGTCCTGAAGTGGGGCCCACATTCTTTGCCAAACTACAAAAGCATTCTTGTACCCTCAGTTCAAGCATGTGCTACACCCCTTGCTCTTAATAAAACTAAATCTTAGATAGTTTCTCTACTTTGGTTCTAAAGGCTGTGTTTTATTTGCCAAAATTTAAGTGATCATTTTCAAAAAGAAATCAGGTATATATGAATACAGTGAGTTGTTGTTGTTGTTTTTTTTAATTAATTTGTTCTCAACATGCCAATAGGGAAGTTTAGTATTTGAAAAGTTCTGAGAAGTCCGGGAAATGAATGTGTCACTTCGTTTATCCTAGTTTCGTTTATCCTAGTTTGTTTTTTCCTAAACTGAACTGCCATGGAGCCTTTCCACCTCCTCCCTGTGGCCAGGGCAACATCCCTTGGAATCAGCAACCCTTGCAATGCCCTTTAGGAAATGCTGCCTTGTACGGCAGCCATAAAGAACTTACCATTGCTTTGATACACTCTCCTCTGTCATGCCTCGGTGCCTTTGCATATACAGTGCCTTCGTCCTGGAATGGTTTCTCTTCTCCACCTGGATGAATGGCTACTTGCCCTTCAAGAAACAACTCAGATGTAACGCTTCCTAGGAGGTCTTTTTCCAGCTTTCTTAGATTCTGTCTCCTTCCCACTCACACTGCATTGCGATTTCTACTACAGGACTCACTCATGTTTGCATTATTTCTTCATGTTTGCCTCTCCTACTTGATTATTGTCTCAAAGGAATGACCGTAGTGTATTTATCTTTATTAGCACCTGCATCTCTATACTTAGCACTTAGTCGTTGTTCACAACATATGTGTTAAGGAAGGAATAAAGATGAGGAAACTGAGACTCAGAATGTTAGGCAACCAAAGGTCACATGGGTATTTCATAGCAGAGTTGGGCCTCAAAGAACACTGCTCTCTATGCCCAAATAGCAAATGTGTGGCAGTTCAGCTCTACCGCCACCTGTGCCCCACAGCAGACAATACTAATAAATTCACTCCACCAAGCTCAGCCTTTTGCTCAAGAAACCTCAAGCATCGCTCTAGGAAAACACTAACAGAGCTGGCCCATGCGATGAAAAATACTTGATCTCCTTGACCTCGTCCACACGGTATCCTCTGGTCGATCTATTTTTGTGGACATGGCAGAGTGCTGTAGATTGCAGAATCCTTCCTCTGTTCTGCTAAAGACAGGGTACTCTGAACTCTCTGTCACTTAGCAGCCCCTGTTCCTCTTCGGGGGGGGGGGGCTGGGGTGGGGAGCTAAAGTTGTCTAAATTTTCACTGCTCCATCTGCCCCAATGCCTCCAGCCTTCCCCGGCGTCCTGATTTGGGAGAGCTCCTGCCCCTTGGCATCAGTGTGCGAGAGCAGATTTGCCCCTCACCGACTCACACACCAAGTTTGCCCAAACACTTCCCCCTCTAATTTTGTAGAGGCAGTGTTGGAATATTTACTGATAAATGATAGGAAAAGAAGATAAATGCAGCAGCCAGGAAACCAGCTTATGGAGCATAAATTTCATCACTGAGGCTTATTTGGCTGACACAGCACATCACCTACTCTCCTCCTCACTGCACTTCTCTCTGGAGATAATCTCCCCAAATCCTACTTTCCTTGGCTTTCCCTCCTTAGTCCCTCAGCCCAGAAGAGGCTGTTCTGTTTTGTTTACGTGACTGAGAGGGCAGGAGGCCACTAATCGATTAATAGGCATTCCTTCTTGGGGCGCCTGGGTGGCTGAGGTCATGATCTCATGGTTTGTGAGTTCAAGCCCTGCATCAGGCTCTCTGCTGTCAGTGTAGAGTCCACTTCAGATCCTCTGTCCCCCCACCCCCCAGCCCCAGCCCCTCCCCTGCTGGAACTCTCTCTCAGAAATAAAAATAAAACATTTTTTTTTAAATAGGCATTCTTTCTTTCCCCTATTGTGAAAAGGATGGTTTTCCTTGCGCTTCTGTTGGCTTCTACATCTTAAGACCCATCAAAAGTAATATGAAAAGAGCTTGTGGGCATGTGGCTGTCCTAGAAACATTTAAAAATAACAAAAATGAAGTTGATGCACCATACTCTCAGACTTCAAATACATCTGGATGAAAAGCTAGAGTTGTAAAAGCAGCTAATGTTTATTGAGCAGCTACCATAAGCCAGATACTGTGCTAAGTGCTTTAGGTTAATAATCTCAATTGCTCTTCATTATGTTTCATATTATAGATACTATTCTAGGCCTCAGGGGGAACTGAGGCTTAGGATAACTTGCCTAATGACATGTAAAAAATGGCAGAGGCTGGATTCACACACAGGTCCATCTGACTCTAAAGTCCATGACCTTGACTATTTAATATTCTTCTAACAAGTCGAACTGTCCAGTATTGGAAAGGCCACTTTGACAGGTAATGAGCGATTCCTGATTTGGAGAGGTGTTTAATCAGGTACTGGATTACTGGAGTAATCTCAAAAATCTGCTCTACCAATATAGCTCGTTCTAATGTCTGTGATGATTCCCTATTTGCCAGCGTTATGGCTTCTTATGAGTCCTCATTCTCTTATCATCATCAGTGTCATCATCACCTCTCGTTAGCACATACGATGTGTCAGGCATCCTTCTGAGCAGTTTTACTTACATTAATTTATTTAGTCAAAACTACCCTACAAAGTAGTTATTATTATTATCCCCATTTAGTAGATAAGGAACCTGAGAAGCAAAGTGCCTTGTCCAAGGTCAGACAACTAATAAGTCACAGAGCTAGGATTATAACCCAGGCATCTGGCTGTAGTACATTACACCGTCTCTTACTGTTTGATACATGTGCCATACTTTTTAAAAATTTATCTTTTTTATTATGGATATATGTTGTAAAAAAATGTCAACACAAATATATAACACAGAAGTTGAAAGTCCCACATAATCCAATGTCTCAGAGATAATTACTATTACCTTCACTAACCACACATTTATATATTTATTTATGGGTTATACTATATATAGACAATGCTCATTAATATGTATTTTTCATGTTTTTATCCCTAACAATTTATCTGCAATATTCTTCCATAACTCTTCAAAGCTCTACTTCATGCTTTTTAATGACCATATTATATGATCATAAACATGGACCTCATTATATTGATCATAAACATGCACTGGTGTTTCTACTGGTGGACATTTGAGTTTTTTCTACTGTTTTGATATTATTTAAAAAAAAATCTACAAGGAAGGCAGAAGACCCTCTTTCTGCATTACCCCCAAATAATACAAAAACAATAATTAGAATGAACATTTCAGGAAGCTTACTATGTGTCACACATTAAGTAAAGCACTTAAAATAGAATGCTCTCAGGCGCACCTGGGTGGCTGAGTCAGTCAGGCATCCAAAACTTGATTTCGGCTCGGGTCATGATCTCACAGTTTGTGGGATCGAGCCATGCACTGCGCTCTGCACTGACAGCATGGAGCCTGCTCGGGATTCTCTCTCTCCCCATCTCTCTGCCTCTTCCCTGCTTGTGCTCTTTCTCTCTCTCTCAAAAATAAATAAGTAACCTTTAAAATAATAGAGTGCCTTTATTCACATTTTTAAGATTATTTTAAATTTTTTAAAGTAAACTCTCTGTGCTCAAACTCACAATCCCAAGATCAAGAGTCATATGCTCTACAGGCTGAGCCAGCCAGATGCCCCTTCAACTTTTTTTTTCCAATGAAGAAAGGAAGACATAGGAAGTCTCACTGCAAATGGGAAAGCTCAAATTTGAGCCCTGTTTTGATTTCAAATCACACTGCATACACACTTCTAAAGTAAGTGTAAGTGTTCTTTCTTCAGTCTTTTCATTTCACATTTACATATTCCATGGGGTTCTTATCCATTCCCTTCACTTCAGAATCTGTCTCCTTGAGCTCCTGGTCCATTCAGCCTATCAGACACTGCCAAGTGGATGCACTGTGGGCACCTCAAACTTAACTCCTCCAAAACAGAAATCATATTCCTCACAACCCCTAGACATCCTCCAGGATGATCTCCACTTGTCAACACTATTTCATTTAATAGCATGGTCATTCACTCAACTGTCCAAGCTAGAAACTTCAAAGCTGCCTGTGACTCCTGCCTGTATTACACCCCACATCTAACTGGTTCTAAGGCTTTGTTACAAGAGACCACAAGTTGTTTCTCAATCCATCCTCTCCACCTTCCTCCTACTAGGGCTTTAGATAATTAAGGCTCCTGACACCTCTCCCTTAGACTGTTGTATCTGCTCGTAACTGATCTCCCTACTTCTAATCTCTCCCTAGGTCCCATCTATTCTTCCATTGCTGTCAGAGGTAATGTTGTAAAGCTAATAATTGATCATGTCATATCCTGCTTATATTCTCAGTAGTAAGTTTTAAAGTCCTCAGCAGGGCACATAAAACATCCCATAATCTTACCCCAATTTATCCTTCCAAACTCATCTGCAGTATATTCTTCCCCATGTACCTTAAACTATGACCACCCATGATCACTTGTGTTTTCTCAGAACTATCGATTATCTCCATGCCTCTATGCTTTTGTTCATGCTACTTGAAATGCCCGCTTCTGGCTTCTCTTCTACCTGCTGACATTTTACTTTTCTTTGAAGACCCAGCACGCTGCCCCCAACGTACATACAGTTTCCACCCTTGTCTCTAGCCTCTCAATTTATTACTTGTCCTCTTTGTTTACATTTCTGTTAATGCTTTACTATAGACTAGTAATCTGGTCACATGTGTCTGTCTTTCTGAAAGGACTCAATCTTAAACATATTAGTATTTCTTGGGGCGCCTGGGTGGCTCAGTTGGGTAAGCATCTAACTTCAGCTCAGGTAATGATCTCACAGTTCATGAGTTCAAGCCCTGCATCGGGCTCTGTGCTGACAGCTCACAGCCTGGAGCCTGCTTCGGATTCTGTGTCTCTCTCTCTCTGCTCCTTCCCTGCTTGCACTCTGTCTCTGTCTGAAAACTGAATAAACATTAAATTAAATTAAAAAAATATATATTAGTATTTCTAGTGCTTAGAAGGAGCTTCATATGTAAAAAATTAAAACTGGAGTTCATTTGTGATTTAGGTAAAAGACTACACTGCCTCAAAGTTTACTTCCAAATCTGAGATTTTCTGTGCCTTTCTGATACACTAAAATCTTACTTGAGGATTGCAATGATCATTTAACCTTAGAATTAACTCCGATTTCAAGGGCCCATTTCTGCTTTCACTTCTTTGCAGAGGCTTTAAAAGCCAAGCATTTGGGCCCTTGGCAATGAACGCCCAGTTGAGTGTTGTCATTGGATTTCCGGAGGAGGTGGGGTAAAAAATACAAGAGCACATCGGAAAACTAGCGGGGCTCCAGAACATCTGGGATTGATTATTCCAGTGAGTTGCTCGAGCAAGGAGAACAATTCTCGTACTAGTTTTTTTTGACATCTGGGCTTTGGCGGCTACCCCTATGGCTTTCTCAGCAGTTCTTGAGGAGTAAGATATGGCTTGTTTCAGTGGAAGAAAAACCTCCAGTGACTCCACTTCTACAGCAGAGGCCTCCAGAAGACCCTTTTCCTCTTACATGGATTTTCTTAGCAGGCCCAGGTCTTCTTGTCATTTACACAGAGAATTAATCTCCCCATACCCAGAGAAATTCATCCTACCTGGGGTCTGAATTAGGTTTTACCACCCCCCTCCCAATTCCTCTTCCTCCTATGATTCTTTTCGAACCATGGACAAGGAACAGTAAAAGACTGGGAGGAGAAGCAACCTCAGGCTACAGTGGAAGTGGATTCACTCCAGCTCCTGCAAAGTGCCTCTTATTAAATACAAGCTGAGTAGGACTTTAGTTCCAGTTCTGAGGGAGAAGGGGTGGGGGGTGAAGGGTGTTTTGCTAACATTTATTGAGCACACACTCTGCCAGGCACTGTCCTATGCATGTTATATACATTATTTTATTTAAAACTCGCAATGATTTACTATGGTATACTATTATCTGTAGTCTAATGATGGAGGAACCGAGGTTCAAGGAGGTTAAATGATTTTCCCGAGGCCACATACTTAGTAAGTGGCAGGGGCAGGTTAAGTTGACAGGGATGAATCCTTTCATCCTGTCACGGGGTGAGATGTCTACTCTTTACGCATTACTCCTCATGTAAAATAATAATAGCTGCATGATATACAAGAGCTTTTTATTTAAACATTCGGACCTATTACCTCTAGCACATCAGAGAGATGATGGTGATGATGATGGTGACGAAGGTGATGATTCCAACATTCAGTGAGCATTGAAGACCTGCCAGGACCTGATCTAGGGGTGCTGTATTATATGTGATCTTATTCTCAGAAAACCTACTTTTTGAGGAAGGTATTATTACTTTCTTGATGAATATACAGAGGCCGAGAAAGGCTAAGTAACTTCACCTAGGTCAGAGAGCTGAATGTTGAAGCCTGAGTTTTAAATCCGGACAGCCTACCTTCAGAGTGTAAGCTACATTGCCTACAGGGAGCACATTCTGGAGTTAGAGAGACCTGGTTTCGAATCACAGCTCTGCCTCTTCCTGGGTAAATTAACTTGAACATATCGGTCCTCAGTTTCTCTGTATGTAAAATGCACCTCTGGAGACTTACCTGCTAACCAGGTGTCTCCATATATATTCTCAAGTACATGAGAGTCAGAACCCCTATTCTATAGGAAACGGAAGTGCATTTTTGAAATACGATAGAGGTAGGTTCAAATCTTACTACTTAATACTTACCAGCTAGGTATTTAAAAAAGATACTCAAACTTTCTGATTCTCAGTTTCATCACCTGAACATGGGAGGCAAAAATACCTACCTAATAGGAATATTTGTGGGTTAGAAATAGTAGATGTATTTTACATTGCCAGGGAATTGGAAGAAGTTCTACGTTATACTCATTATTTAAATATCATTATGGCTCTCGACCAGGAAAATATACTTTCATATGCACCAGCAGGTAGGGGGCCAAGTTCCCTGTTTACTGTCCTAACACAGGCATCACTAGGGAGGCTAGAGAACCCCCTTCTGGAAGGTGATAAAACAGGAGACAGTCTTCTGTTGGGCCTACTTTAGGTGTGGCTCTGACTCAGGTAGGTGGGGATATGATGGGCTGAATGTGTTCTCTCTGCTCATCTTGTCCCTCACCTTTCCAGCTTGCTGAGAAACGTACCAAGTGAACTGCCTCCAGTGAACTACAGTCAGGATCCTGACTCTCGCTCCACAACAATGCCCCCCCCCCCCCGCCCCTTTATTAGGCTCTAGGGGGAAAGCATGTGGCCGTTAGAGTCACACTTACTTAGATCCAAACCCTCTGTCAGGTGAGAGCTATCATACTAAGTATTTGTGAGGATGAAATTCTTTATGAAAATGACTTAGCTCAGTTATAGGGGCTTAGTATATACTCAACAAATTTTAATTTTCATCTTTCTTAGAAGAGAATAATTCAAGGTCAACATCATTCTGAGATGAACACAAAGATAAAGAAGGATGCAAGTCTTCACAAAACTCTTTTAGCTTAAATTCTAAATATTTAAAAAAAGATTCTCAAGAGCCTCTTTTATTACTGATTTTAGAGCTAATTAAATCCCCCCAAAACTTGTCTTATATTTAAGGACCTGGATTTTATATATTCATTGAATATATTCATTTACTTTGAATATACTCAATTGAATATATTCATTTACTTTGAATACCTTGTCACAGGCTAACAGCTGAGATACTCTTATAGGACTTAGGTCTAATGCTCAGCATTGAAAGAGATACTAGAAGTACAAATTTATTATTGCAGCAGACCCCTATGGCATTGGTTTCTGACAGACTACTAGAAATCGACTAGTTACTCCACAGGATTTGGCCACATCCATAGTCCAGGTTGGCATTATGCCCCTCTAGCAAGAATCGCAGAGGCGCTCACCCGCTAACTGACTGAATCTGGGCAAGGCCATGCTATCCACAAATCCGTACTGATGACCTGGTTGGTGACCAGGGCCACAACTCACCTCTGCATTAGGGTAAGGAGGTCTTTTGTGTCTCTGCTTTTACTGTGGTCTCTTCCATATAAAAGGATTTGAATCATCAGACACTGTAGGTAAGTTGAGAAACATAGGTTAAAGAGAATCAGATAGCCAGCACCTTCTTTATAAACCAAACTCAGAAGAGCATCACTGGTACTGAGGTATCACGAGTTTCCATGTCAAATTCCCGCCCTGCATCCCCCCTCCTGGTTCCCAGCCAAGGAGGAAAAGGAGACTGAACGGAAGGCTCCGCACACCTCCATGCTTTATGTGTGTCATTCTACCCCACTGCACCTGCCACCACCATGTGGCTATGGACAACGAGAGTAACAGGGCCCAAACATGGCTGTAGTAATGGTTTCCATCAGGATTTTCCAAATAGCTATGACCAAATGGATGGATATAAATGAAATCGGTGTATGGGTCCTAAATTTGCATTGCATTCTCAAGCTGTATCACTTTACTCTTTTTTTTTAAGTTTTTTATTTGAGAGAGACAGAGACAGTGCGAGTGAGGGAGGGACAGAGAGAGAGAGAGAGAGAGAGGAAGAGAGAGAATCCCAAGCAGGCTCCACACTGTCAGTGCAGAGCCTGATGTAGGACTCGAACCCATGAAACCACGAGATCATGACCTGAGCCGAAACCGAGAGTTCGACGCTCAACTGACTGAGTCACCCAGGTGCCCCTATATCACTTTACTCTTAGGCAGTTTTCCAGTTAAAATTTTATTATGGACCTCTCTTTCCAATCAAGATGAAATAATCGGGATCAGATTTACACTTGCACACGAAATAACCAAAAAATGAAAAAGTAAACAAAATATATGAAGCAATCTTTAAGACACTGAACATCAGCCAACAAAGAACAGTGATCCCTGAGAGAGGGAAACAAGTGAGATAAATCCTAAAACTGCCCCGAGATTATTGTTTTGAGAGCAGTTCCAGGTCATGATGCAGGGAAGGGAACAGAGGGAAGCTCAGCAGACTCCCTAAGTTGAGGATAAGGAGCTGAGTCCCCGGAGACTCTCAGAGCTGAGTAAAAAGAGAGGAGACAGCTGAGAAAAAGATCCAGGAATATCTGTGGTGGATCCCCCTTGTGCATTCAGCAGAGTACTGACTAGCACGTCTATGTGAGAAAACTGCCCAAAGCTGGGAAAGGAATCAGCTGAAGGGGCTGGCGGGAACAGGGCCTGGTGCTTACACAGGGCTGGGCACAGGGCCTGTTTCAGTCAGCCAATCTAGAGAGCCTCATGGCTCATGGAGCTTTGGGTGGCAGACTCAGAAGGCTTCTGCCTCAGTAATGGGGGATAATTAGCCCTTCACTGACTCCTGCTCTAGTCTCATCTACTGAATCTTAAAAAGCAAGACCTAAAAGGACTACACTATAATTAAACTGAGTTCCAGAACAAAGTTCAAGAATACTTATAGGAATACAAAAATATCCAACACCCAATAAGGTAAAATACACAACATCTGGCATCCAAACAAAGATTGCAAAAGCCCGTAAAGAAGCAGAAAAGTGTTATCCATATGAGAAAAATGTATCAATCAAAACCCACCCCAAACTGACATAGACGTTAGAATTAGCAGAGAAGTATATTATAACTGTTATAACTTTATTGCATATGTTAAAAAAATTAAATGAGGACATGAAAAATTTATTTTTTTAAAAGACCCAAATCAAACTTCTGGAGATGAAAATGTAAAAAGATGGATGGGAGGGATTAAGAGCAGTTTTGATATTAGAGAAGAAAAAAATTAGTGAACCTAAAGGCGCAAGAATAAGAACTATCCATAAAGAAAAATTATAGACTATAGCAGTGGGTACAGAAAAATAGTTTTTACAATAGCCAACACCCAATTGTATAAAATCCGACATCCATTCCTGAGTTAAAAACACCTCCTTAGCAAACCAGGAGTAGAAGGTAATCTCCTCAACCTGATAAAAGGTATTTATAAAAAAGTCAACAGCTAACAACAAACCTAATTGGTGAAAGACTAAAATTTTTCCCCCTGAAAACAGAAATTAGACAAGGTTGCCTGTTCTCACCACTTCCACTCAACATTGTACTAGATGTTCTGGTCAATGTAGCAAGAAATAAAAGGCATCCAAATTGGAATGAAAGAAGTAAACTTGAGGGGCACCAGGGTGGCTCAGTTGGTTAAGCGTCTGACTTCGGCTCAGGTTATGATCTTGTGGTTCATGGGTTCAAGCCCAGTGTCAGGCTCTGTGCTGACAGCTCAGGGCCTGGAGCTGCTTCAGATTCTGTGTCTCCCTCTCTCTCTGCCTCTCCCCCATTCATGCTGTACCTCTCTCTCTCAAAAATAAATAATAAGACATTAAAAAAAAAAAAAGAAGTAAACTTGACTTGCAGATGACATGATCATCCATGTAGGAAATCTGATGAATCTATAAACAGCTACTAGAATAAGTGAGTTTAGCAAAGTTATGGGACCCAAAATTATATATTTAAAAATTGTTATATTTCTATATACTAGCATCAACAATCAGAAATTGAAATTCAAATATGATACATTTAAAATAGCAAAAATTGGAAATCAGTCTGAATAAATCTAAGGAAAGGTGCACATGACCTGTACATCAAAAACTACAAGAAATAGGGGTGCCTGGGTGGCTCAGTCGGTTAAGCGTCCGACTTTGGCTCAGGTCATGATCTCGCGGTTCGTGAGTTCAAGCCCCGCGTCAGGCTCTGTGCTGACAGCTCAGAACCTGGAGCCTGTTTCAGATTCTGTGTCTCCCTTTCTCTGACCCTCCCCCGTTCATGCTCTGTCTGTCTCAAAAATAAATAAACGTTAAAAAAAAAAACTACAAGAAATATTATTGGGAGACATTAAAGATGACCTACACAAATGGGAGAATATCACGTGTTCATGGGTGAGAAGCTCAAGATTGTTAAAATGTTAATCCTCCCCAACCTGATCTACACATTCAATGTAATCTCAAGCTAAATCTGAGCACATGTTTTTGGGGAAACCAATACAGTGATTCTAAAATTCCTGTGGAAACGCAAAGAACCGAGAATACTCAGAACAACATTGAAAAAGAACAAAGTTGAAAAACCAACACTACCTGATTTCAAGACTTGTTTTAATGTTTTTATTTATTTTTGAGACAAAGACAGAGCATGAGCAGGGGAGGGTCAGAGAGAGAGGGAGACACAGAATCAGAAGCAGGCTCCAGGTTCTGAGCTGTCAGCACAGGGCCCGATGTGGGCTCGAACTCCCAGACTGTGAGATCATGACCTGAGCTGAAGTCGGACGCTTAACTGACTAAGCCACCCAGGCCCCCCTCAAGACTTGTTTTAAAGCTACAATAATCAAGACAGCATGTATTGACCTGAAGATGGAAAAACAGATCAGTGGAACAGACAAGAGTCCGTAAATAATACACACACACACACACACACACACACACACTGAATTTTTGACAAAGGTGCAAAGATAACTCAGTAGAGAAAGGAATTTCATTTCAATAAAAACGGTGCTAGAACAGCTGGCTACCCACATGCTAGACAAACAGACAAACAAACTGGGATCCATTCCTAGTACCATACAGGAAAACTGATTCAAGTGGATCATAGGCCTAAATGTTAAACCTGAAACTACAAAAAATCTAGAAGAAAACATAGGAGAAAAATAGTTTTGACTTCGGTCAGGCAAAGATTTCTTAGGTAAAACACCAAAGTGCAATCCACAAAAGAACAAATTGATAAACTAGACTGCATGAAATTGCAAAGCTTCTGCTCTTCAAAATACACTTGTTAAGAAAATGAAAAGGCAGGGGCGCCTGGGTGGCTCAGTCGGTTGAGCGTCCGACTTCAGCCCGGGTCATGATCTCATGGTCTGTGAGTTCGAGCCCCGCGTCAGGCTCTGGGCTGATGGCTCAGAGCCTGGAACCTGCTTCCGATTCTGTGTCTCCCTCTTTCTCTGACCCTCCCCCGTTCATGCTCTGTCTCTCTCTGTCTCAAGAATAAATAAATGTTAAAAAAAAAAAAAGAAAATGAAAAGGCAAACTTCATGCCAAGAGAAAATATTTCCAAATCATATATCTGATAGAGAACTTGTATCTAGAATATATGAAGAACTTGTTTCCCACTTTATAGCATTTATGGCATCAACTAGGAACATAACATGTTTACACAAACACACAACAATTGTACATTGGCATCTTTATGATTTTTTTTACTTTATTCTTAAAATTTTTTAAGTTTTTTAAAATTTATTTTTGAGAGAGACAGAGACAGAGGGTGAGCAGGAGAAGGGAAGAGAGAGAGGGAGACACAGAATCTGAAGCAGGCTGCAGGCTCCGAACTGTCAGCACAGAGCCTGAGGTGGGGCTCGAATCCATAAACCGTGATATGACCTGAACTGTAGTCCGTCGCTTAACCGACTGAGCCACCCAGGCACCCCTGATCATATCACTTTCTTAAACCTCTAGTGCAAAAGGCCCTGCTGGTCTCCCCTTCCTTATAAACCCCTGCCTCTCCCAGTTCATCCTGTACTGCTCTTCTCTTTATTCTGGACACACTCCCTTTTAGTCTTTCCCTGTTTCATCTTGTCTCAGAGTCTTTTTTTTTTTTTTTTTTTTTTTTTTTTTATCCAAATTAGCATATAGTGCAAAAAAATTTTTAAAAAATTTTTAAAAGAAT